GAAAACTAGATGTATTAAATAAGACACTGTGGCCACTCTGAAGTTGGATTCCAGGCCCTTCCCCCTAGATTGCTTGTTGCTTTTTGTTGTTGACCATTTGTGTAGTAAACTTTTCTGAATTAATTCTATAGTCTGTTTTTGTTTTTGTTTTTGTTTTTTGCCATTGAAGTTTCCACTCAGCTTAGTGGTCAGCTAATGATCACACAGATTTCTTTAAGTACCTAGAACCAACAGGTCTGCCTTCTTTGCCAGGGAACTCGTGCAGGTTGGGCCTCACCTCCAACACTCAGCTCGGCGGTTTATAAATCTCTGCCTTGGTTTCACTACCTGCTTGCACAGAGCCTCAAGATTGTTTAGAGGTGAGAGCTTTGAGCCTTCTCCGGTCTTTACTGAGCATGCGCACAGCCCTACACATGTGCATGGACTTCTAGATTCCCAGGAACATGTTGAAATTTTCAAAGTCCCTATGGATATCTCTTTCCTCAGGTTTTCCTTTTAAGCTTTTTGCTTAGCCTATTTTCCCAAACTGTTATGTACCACCTTTAGCACCCACCAACTTAAAAAATTGACTCTGTTCTATGACAAACAGCCCGAGGGAAAAGGCTGCTTACATTAAGTGAGCTCCTAGTCTGGACAAATAGAGGCAGCCTTGCGATTGGGTCTTCCTAGGAACCACCAGTCAAGTGAAATAATCACAGTTCTCTGTCAATGAGGCTTTGAAGGAACTCCAACTCTGTTCAGTGCTTTCCAGTAACTGCCAGGCTGTTGGTTTTCAAGGCTACCATGGAGCTGGAAAAGGTGGGGGCGGGGCATGGGTGGCACAGAATAGGGTAAGCTAAAAACATCACAAAGCTTGCCATTCTTAACAAGATTTTGTTTATTGAATTTGTTCTACATAAATGATCCCTGGATGGCTGTAAGCCTTTGGTTAAGAATTCTGAAAAAGTTGATGGGAATGCAAGCTGGTGCAGCCACTCTGGAAAACAGTATGGAGGTTCCTCAAAAAAATAAAAATAGAACTACCCTATGGTCCAGCAGTTGCACTACTAGGTATTTATCCACAGGATACAGGTGTGCTGTTTCGAAGGGGCACATGCACCCCCATGTTTATAGCAGCACTATCCACAATAGCCAAAGTATGGAAAGAGCCCAAATGTCCATCAATGGATGAATTCATAAAGAAGATGTGATGTATATGTACAATGGAGTATTACTCGGCAATCAAAAAGAATGAAATCTTGCCATTTGCAACTACGTGGATGGAACTGGAGGGTATTATGCTAAGTGAAATTAGAGAAAGACAAAAATCATATGACTTCACTTATATGAGGACTTTAATAGACAAAACAGATGAACATAAGGGAAGGGAAACAAAAATAAAAACAGGGAGGGGGACAAAACAGAAGAGACTCATAAATATGGAGAACAAACAGAGGTTACTGGAGGGGGGATGGGCTAAATGGGTAAGAGGCACTAAGGAATCTACTTCTGAAATCATTGTTGCCCTATATGCAAACTAATATGGGTGTAAATTTTTTTTTTTTAATTTTTTTTTTCAACGTTTATTTATTTTTGGGACAGAGAGAGACAGAGCATGAACGGAGGAGGGGCAGAGAGAGAGGGAGACACAGAATCGGAAACAGGCTCCAGGCTCTAAGCCCTCAGCGCAGAGCCCGACGCGGGGCTCGAACTCACAGACCGCGAGATCGTGACCTGGCTGAAGTCGGACGCTTAACCGACTGTGCCACCCAGGCGCCCCTGGGTGTAAATTTTTTAAAAATAAAAGTATTCTGAAAAATATTCTGACTATATTTTTGCCAGTTTTCTCATTATTTTTATGGAAGAGGGAATTTTTGGAGGTCCCTGCTCCACCAGTTTCTCAGACGTCACTGTTGCTTTTTTTTTTTTAATTTTTTTTTTTTAACGTTTATTTTTGAGACAGAGAGAGACAGAGCATGAACGGGGGAGGGGCAGAGAGAGAGGGAGACACAGAATCAGAAGGAGGCTCCAGGCTCCGAGCCATCAGCCCAGAGCCCGACGTGGGGCTCGAACTCACGGACCGTGAGATCATGACCTGAGCTGAAGTCGGACGCCCAACCGACTGAGCCACCCAGGCGCCCCCACTGTTGCTTTTTATAGCACATTTAGAGTTTGTCTGAGGCTGATGTCATACCCTCATTGCACAACACACACAGTAAAGAGAAAGTGAAGGATGGAAGGACTTATTCTAGAACAGCACACTGCAAGGTGATGTTAAGGGAACATAGGGAGCGCTTCTCCAACTCTGTAGTGAAGGACAAATTTGTTTATTAATCTAATTCATCATTGTATGTTGTCCTACTTCATGTGACTAGTTCACATACAACTTGCCTTGCAAGTTCAACAACCAGAGCCGGTCTCTACCCTGTTCAACAAGAATTGTCTGCTGATCACACTCCTGGAGGTCCAGGCAATGTCAAATTGTTAGGAAAGTTTCTGAATGCTCTGTTTTTTCACTTATCTTGTCACCACGTGGGAATAACAAGGTTTGCAAACCAGTAAACTTTGAGTAGCACTTAACCTGCAAACGATCTTGAATAAGCTAGTACAAGGCCTCCTCGACAACATTTAAAAGTCTATCTGTGTTGGTTTTCCTCTTAAATTCAAGCATCACGGAACTATGTAATGCAGAAAATGCAGATTCCTCATATTCCCAAGGACACAGAGATGAGCACTGTTAATATGTTTGCTATATATAAACTACCAGGTTTTTTTCCCCCATTCTTACACAAGTATGTGTTTGCTTTACAAAAACGAACTCTTTCTACATATGTATTTTACAACTTATAACTTATTTGGACATGTTCCTATATGGTACATGCACATTTTCATCATTCTTGACAGTTATAGGGTATTCCATTTCATATATACATGCAATAATTGTTAACCAGGCCCTATTGGTGGCCATCCAGGCCCAGGTACCATTTTCAAGCTAAGTCATTACAGTCCACTAGAAGTAAGAGGTGTCAACTCTATATTATGCATTGCACCTAATAAGCAGAGCAAAACTTGCCATCCAAGTGATTTTAAAAATTTTTTTTAATGTTTATTTTTGAGAGAGAGAGAGAGAGAGAGACAGAGGACAGCGTATGAGTCAGGGAGGGGCAGAGAGAGAGGCAGACACAGAATCCAAAGCAGGGTCCAGGCTCCGAGCTGTCAGCACAGAGGCTGACGCGGGTCTCGAACTCACAGACCGACAGATCATGGCCTGAGCCAAAGTCAGATGTTTAACCAGCAGAGCCACCCAGATGTCCCAGCCATTTAAGTGATTTCCGACTGGCATGTTAGGGTGTTTCCAGCTCTTACTATTACATACAGGCTGCAAAGAAGCTGTGTGTTCACCGTCTAGGCATCGGTATGCACCTGTGCACACCTGAAGACTAAGGTCTGGTAAGAGGAACTGCTGTCCAAAGACTGTCCCAGCTGACACTGCCACCCACAGTGCTTCCATTGATTTGAGCTTAAGTTTAGACTGGGGGAATTAAAAAGTCTTCAGGAACCAAACCAAGATATAGAATCCAGATCTAACTGAACAGTGGCAGGACATTGGATATTCCTGGGCTGTTCAGAGACTTGTAAAGCCAATTCTCAAAAGAAAGCCAGAAATGTGGCGAGCCAGTGATATCCTCCTTAAAACACCTTTTCTCCTCATTTCTGCTAAGAACGAGTAACTTCTGGCAAGAGAAATCAGCAATGCCTTTTCTTTACAAATCATTTCCTTTCTTAAATCCCAACTGTGAAGCTAAATGCTGCTTACACACACGTTTAACCTTTAGGGTGCTGACCACTCATGGCGGGAAGAAGGCCAGGTCAGCATTCTTGGTCGCTGCCACTATTCAGGCCTGACCAGTCTCCGGGGAAAGATCCAAACAGCGGCTTCAGCAGCCAATAAGCGGAGGACTCAGTTACTACTTGACCTGATTCTGTGACTGTCTGGCAGAAACACATCTCCATAGTCTCTTTCAGAATGTGAAGCATCTCAAAATGTCTGAGCCTGCCCGGCTAAACTCGCAATCAGGTTAGTCTATTGTCTTCCCTGAATCCTCTAAGGATTTCTTTGGGAAAACCCAAAGCACGTGTGAGCTGAATTCTGTTCCTCCCTTGGGATGTCCTGAAGGTGAGGACACGCGCTGAGGTGTCTGAAAGCTATATATAGTGTCTGAGGAAATGATCCCTGAAGAAGTATAGCACAGACCCTAACAATTCTTCAAGAGCTCCTTGCTGATGTGAGAAATCTCAGTGTGAGAGCAGCACAGCTGATCAATCATGGGGACCTACTGCCCCCCAGAAGGTGCACATGCCGGCCCCCTGCCCCTGCAGACACTTGGGACATAGGCAGCGTTGCCGTCCAAACAGGAATAAACCCAGGGCTCAGTGCACACATTTCACAGCTTTTTATTGAGATTCGGGAAGAGTCCGCTGGAAGTGGGTGCGCTCACTGTCCCAGCTTGCCCAGGCCTTCCGCTGCATGGGTGACAGCGCTTGTGACTGTGTTGGTCACCGTCTCAGTGACTTCCTTCACCGCTTTGTCCCCTGCCTCATGGGCCTTCTTTAAGGCTTCGCCAATGGCTGTCAGGAAGAAAGAGGAATAATGTCCGGTGAGCAAAGTAAACATTTCCAGCTAGCAGGGCCCGCGTCAGCTGGAGTGGCCTGCGGGGATGCGGCGGTCTTACTGGACGGAGGCCTGGCCTTGCTGGATTCTGCCCCGATGGGACAGAGGGCAGCGGGGCTCCCGGAGGAACGCATTCAAACGTGGTTTCGGTTCCCTCCACAACTCGCGTTTCCCCAATTCTGAGTGAGGCGGCACCTGCTCCTCCCAAGGGCACGCTGCCTACTCAGACCTCTTTTCTCTGTCAACTGCCTGCTTGTGTCTTCTGTCGTTTTTATATTGGTCCATCGTTTCTATTTACAAATGTTTTTCCTCCCTTTGTGGTTTTTCTCCTGGCTTGGCTTATCGCATTTTTTTTTTTAATTTTTTTTTTTCAACGTTTATTTATTTTTGGGACAGAGAGAGACAGAGCATGAACGGGCGAGGGGCAGAGAGAGAGGGAGACACAGAATCGGAAACAGGCTCCAGGCTCTGAGCCATCAGCCCAGAGCCCGACGCGGGGCTCGAACTCACGGACCGCGAGATCGTGACCTGGCTGAAGTCGGACGCTTAACCGACTGCGCCACCCAGGCGCCCCCGCATTTTTTTTTTATTATGGAAAATTTGCAAGTTTTATATTGCCAGGTCTATCTAATATTTCCTATGTGGCTGTCGGGTTTTCCGTCACAGTTAAAAAGATCCTCTCCTCTCCCATATTATCCCCAATCCACCACCTTCTCTTCTAACAGTTTAATGATTTCATGTATCTAATACGTGAGCCCTGGATCCATCTGGAACCTATCATGTTGTAAGGAATGAGGCACTTTTAGTTACACTACAGTACACACACATAAACATTTATGCAAATATACATGTAAACACACAATCTCCTGTCTGAAATGTTTTGTCAGAGCGTGCTGCCACATAGTCTTTTGTGACCCCGTCTCCTTAACATCCCACGGAAAGGACTGTCTGGATGGATCTTGTTTTATTAGCAAAGTACAGTCTGTGGCCGCAGATGAGCGTAGATAATTGCATACCAACTGAAAGGATGCAACATCAAGGTCAGGGTTTGACCGGGTTAGGCAAAGAATGGGTTGCTCCCAGCATCTAGCTTCCCTCCTTCCCTCTTCCCCTGGCCCCAGCCTCAATGATACCTTTCTCTCCGGCCTCCTTGGCGTGTTCCACCACCTCCTTCACCACCTCCTCAACGGCATGAACTAAAAAGATGAGAAGCCCAGAGTGAGCGCAGTGCAAGCCAGCTTCTCCTCAAGGCAGAGCCCAGGACATCTGGATGTCCTGGATGCCGCCCCCCCCCCCCCCCCCCCCCCACCTCCCGGTGAGACCAGGCAGCTCACGAGCAGGACCCTCAGCTGCCTTAATTCAGAGACTCCAGCGGGCCTGGCTGCCAGAAGACAAACCTAGGCAGTCAGACGAGAGCACAGGGCCCTCCGTGCCCCCTTGGCCTGGCAAGGCCTGGAATGCAGATGAGCAGGCCCTCGTGCCAGTGGGGCCCCTGAGGCCAAGGCGGGGCTCGTCTCCCACGTCACCGCACCTCTCAGGTGAGCTGCTGTCCCACCACAGCTCCACTAGGGATGCCAGATCCCGAAGTCTCCTCCAGCCAAACCTGACCCCCCAGAGCAATTCCTCCAACAGGAGGAACTCTCCCACCACCTCGGAGTTGTCTAAAGTTCGTGCGGCAGTTGCTAGAACTGGAAGATTTTGGAGTCAGAAGAACGGCTTCTGATTTTACCTCCACTCTGCACACTTGGTTCCCTTATCTGTGGAGTGGGGATGATGCCGAACTCGGGGCCAGCGAGATATGCAAGAGAGAGGTCAACCCCAGCTGCAGAGCTAACATACGAAATACAGACATGTTTGCGGCCATGCAGAACCCGAACAGCCAACGCGGACACCAGTTGTTTTTCACAAAACGGCAGGACTAGCCTCCCGCGCAGAGTTGCTGGGGCATACACACCAAAAGGGTTTTGGGGCACCTGGCTGGCTCAGTCAGAAGAGCATGTGACTCTTGATCTTGGAGTCATGAGTTCGAGCCCCATGCTGGGTGTAGAGATTACTTAAAAATAAAGTCTTCAGGGGTGACTGGGCAGGCTCAGTTGTTTAAGCATCTGACTCTTGATTTCGTCACAGGTTCACGAGTTCGGGCTCCATGTTGGGTTCTGTGCTGACAGTGCAGAGCCTGCTTGGGATTCTCTGTCTCCTTCTCTCTCTGCCCCTCCCCTGCACTCTCTCTTTCTCTCAAAATAAATAAACATTTAAAATATATAAAATAAAATCTTTATTTAAGAAAAGGGTTTCTGGGGACTTTGAAGAAATTGAAAACGTCCTTTGTATAAACCCAGGGGGCTGACTTTGAACGGAATCAGACTTGGTGGTTTCTTAGTAAAGAAATCTTTGAGGCATTAAAGTGATGCTAAAAATAAAAACCCATTTTCTTGTTTCTGTATAGGACATTCAAAACAGGCTGCTTTGATATGGAAGGACTCCCGGGTTTCCAGAGGGGAGGATTCTAGCCACTGGAGGCTCACCCAGCACCTGGGCTCCCTTTTTGCTCCCAGGGACCTCCTCTGAGCTGTGTCCCTCCTGCCTCACAGACCCCAGAAATGGGTCCAACCGAGGGAGGCCTGTTTGGGGGCAATGGACCCCTCATGACTCCACCCAAGCTGCCCTCTTCAGCTTCCACACCCCTCACTTCCTTTCTGTCCTTGTGGGATTGATGGGTTCCTCAAGGGGCCAAGGCCTGCCCCCAATCTGCTGAGATCAGCTTCCAACAGGCCCCATCGAGTCTGTCCCCACCTCCCCCACCCCCCCCCCCCCCCCCCCCAGCCTAGGGAGAAGGGCCAGGTGGAAAGGAGCCTCTGGGTCCTTACCAGCTTCCTCAGTGGCCTTCTCAGTGCGGTGGGCCAGGCCCTCAGCAGCAAGTTTCCCCAGACCTCCCAGCATTGTGCGGTGACAAGTGGCAAACCAAGCAGGATGCTGCGGTCTGGATCAGCGTGCTTTTATAGATGCCTCTGATGCCTGCCTGGGCTCTGGGGCAGGAGCCCCCGCCCCAGCCAGGTAGGAGATCAGGTGGTGAGTCAGCGCAGGCGGCGGCAGGAAGACGAGGCTGGGTGGGGCTGCCCCAGTGCCGTGACTGCAGCCCTGCCCCTCTGGCAGTATGAGACCCTGACACCCAGTACTTGGGGACCCTCTGAGGGGCAGGGACAGGAGCAGGGCTGAGCCTGGAAAGGAGGCCTGACTGCCCTGGGAGATGACAGGCCCTTGGGGACAGCAGCCCTTCCAGTCCCCTGGGCTTCAAGCTCCCCATAGCCTGGGCACTGCTGTGTATCCAGACAGGGCCTAGGACTTCCAGCCTGCTATCCAGGATCCTCAGGGTGCCCTAGTCAGGGGCTTGGGGGTCTGTGGGCCTGGGGACCCGGACGGTCCCTCAGGCCAGGGACACAAGTGGAATGGGCACCACTGACCTCCCCATTCCCAAAGACTTCAGCTCTGCAGTGTCTCTGCAGCTTTCATTGGAAATTTGAGGGGCGGGGAAGGGGGCTTCATGGTGGTACCTTGCCTACGGAGGACATAGCGTTAACCGGAAACCCAGTCATCCTGGCTTGCAGTCAGCTGCTTCTCACTCACAGGAGCACCTGAACCCCTGCGCAGCCCCATTCAGGGGCAGGCAGCACAGGAGAGAGCCCAGCACCCCTGCACCTCGGGGCCTGGCTTCTCGGAGAGGTCCTGTGAGGCCAGCAGTGTCCCCCAGGAGGTCCTAGAGGAATAGATGGAGGACCCCAGCACCAGTAGGGGAGGTACATCTGGCCCTGGCCAGGATTCCCAGAAAGCCACTCTACAGGCCCCTGATGCATCACATGCTTAAGGGGCCAGGCTGCCTCCCTAGTTACTCAGGTTGAAGAGTGATGCCTCAAGCCACATGTCACATGCCGCTTCCCTTACTCACCAGCCCAAACTTGAGCCTCAGTTTCCTCATCTATAAAATGGGGACAGCCACGCCTTCCTGGCCATGTCACTGATAGAGGGATCATGTGTGCAAGTTCTTGGTAAACTTCTGTTCCCTCCCTCTTGTCACTGATTGTGCTAGAGAGGGGCTGTTCGGGAGTGAGCCCTGACAGACCAGTAGCGGGGGCAGAGGGCCGGGGACTATGACCCCAGTGGCCAGGAGTCATGGAAGAAGTCCTCCCAAGTCCTTGTTCATGCCATCCAGGCCAGGGGCAGGAGTCTGAGGCTGCCTGCCCCCATGCCTGTTCTCTCAGCCTGTACAGATGCCCAGGAGGGTGTGGTGAACCCTAATTAGTGTTTACCCGACTCCAGGCCCTCACCGCCTGGGTCCTACGGGGCTGAGGCCCTCCCACATTCCTGATTGGTATTAGGAAGCCCCAAGCTGTGGCCGGCCCCCATGGCGGGGGGCGGGGGGGCAGGCAGTGGGTGCTGTGGCAGCAGAAACTCTGGGTCACAGGGCCACACACACCATTCTCCACTGGCAGGAGTGGTCGGGTATTAAACCGTCTTTGAGAGAAAGAACACAATAATACTACTCTTGCAACTATTACAGATGGCTATGTGTGACCCTGTGGACTCAGAAGAGGCTGTGAAGTGAGGGGCTCTGGAGCTTAAGCAGGTCCAGAAGACGGTTCTCCCCTCAGCACAGGCGAATTCCAGAGTCTTCTGCTCAGGGCAGTGCTGCCAAGGGTGGGGAACTTTGGGGACACAGTTGGGGGGAGTTGGGCTGAGAGACCCACAGAGATCTCCCTGGACCCAGCAAAGCTCTTTCCCTGTTTCCTCTGAGGTGGTGTGTGTCCCCCAGCCCCACAGGGTCCCTCGCCGTGCTTGTTCCCCTGACAGGATGGTGGTGTCATCCAGTGTTTCCGGGACAGATTCCAGACCCCACAGACCCCTCCACACCAGTTCCCATCCTGGGATACTGTTCTCCCTCTCCTCTGGAGCTCACTAGCCCCTCAATAGGTCCTTGCTAGGACTCAGTCCTTCCGCAGGACTCCGGTCCCAGGGCCAGTCCAGAGCCCCACCCAGTACAGCCTCTGGATATGCTTTTCTTCCACTGTTGGCTACTGTTGCCCTTACCACATCACCCTCCCTGCCCGTGAGCCCCTGCCCCTCCTCCCCTGCTGCACTGCCCTGGGAGGAGCACCCTGGCTCCAGTGACAACATATTGTGGCCCCAGATCTCTGGGCAAGACTGGGTCCAGACAAAGATCCCAAATGCCCAGCAAGGGGAAAGCGAGGGGCCTCGCCAAGCTGCCTAGGACCAGATGAGGGGACCCCTGACCTTGGTGCTCTGGCCCAGGGCGATCCCCTTTGGCCTTCCAGCTCCTGCTGTGACCAGCTTCCTGTTCTCTCAGCCCCTTCTGTGGATCACTGAGGGTGGTCTTCTTTCCAGGCAAAGAAACCCAAGACAGCCCAAGACCCTCCTAACCAGGGATGGATCCAGATGTGAGGGGCTGGGCTCCAGTGACTCCTGCAGGGAACATTACTGCCTGGATGAGTTGAAGATGACTCAGCTGGGAACCATCCCATCTTAGAAGAGGCCTGGCTCACCCTGCACCCCAGCAGAGCAGCCCTTGAACACAGGCACCTGTCCTGAGACAGAAGATCAAGTCCAGCCCCTGGGGCAGGACCATCAGGCCTTCAGAGGAGCCAACTAATCCTCCAGGTGGAATTTGTGCAACAACCCAGTTTGGCAAAGGATCAACTGGCTGCATCATCAAGTCACGGTGAGCCAATTTCTCATATGACAATTTGCCAACTTGGCAATTACCAGTTCTGAAAAATAAAAATAAAAAATGTTTATTTTAAGTGTTCAAATACTCAGGGCTGTCTTACGTCTACAGTGATAACTTCTTGTGTGATCTGAACTATGGTTGCCTATCCTCCTTCCGCTTTCTCCTCCTTCTGCTTCAGGGATTTGAGCTCACAGTATATACTGAGCCCACATACCCTGCACACACCAACCCCTCCCAGCCACAGGGAACCAAATCCTGACTCCTGGAGATGTTTTGTGGTCCCTCGGCATGTCAACATCACACATCCATGGATGTCAGTCAGGATTCTGTTGGAAATCAGAGGGCACATCAAAAGGGTACTTAAGGAAGAGACTGTTCACAAAGCTGTGGGGAGACTTAAGAGAACCAATAAAGGATGGCAAGGTGCCCGGAGACCAGTCATGGTGACAGTTGTCACCACCCTGGGCCTGGAGGGGTAAGGGTAAGGAGCAAGGCCATACAGATGCCAAGGAGAGTTGTGGCTTTACAAGAAGGTCATTCGACAGGAGCAGCAGCAGAGGAACCCAGCCACTGCCAAACCACGTCAAGCAAGGAGGGTACATGGGGAACAAATACCTCTCCTCTCCCTCTGTGACCTAGCCATGTGTCACCCATTGGCTGAACCCAACTGGGACTGAGGGCAAGGGAGCCCTGGTGATGCAGTTCAGGAGGACAGGTTCCTGGGGCGAGGGCAGGGAGGAGCAGGCAGACAGTGGATATGGATTCTCTGTAAACATAATACCAGCTCAGCCTGCCAGACTGCCATGTCTGGAGGCAACAGGGCAGCAGCTTAATTCTAAATAGTCCCATTTCTCCTTCTTGAAACCATATGAAGGAGGAGGGGGGGAAGGAGGAGGAGGAGGAGGAGGAAGAGGAAGGCAGCCCATCATCAACACACGCACACACACACACATCAACACACACACACATCAAATTTCTCTTCAGAGAAGCTGGGAAACCATGCAAATCCAGGAGCAGGTGAGACCAGCAGAACCAATGTGGGAAGGCAGGCAAATGCAGAAGAGTGGGAGAGACCCGGGGAGGGGGGGTGGTCTCAGGTGTTGAATGAGAACTCTTCGGGACAGAACTAAGAACCTGAGCAGGTGAAGGAGGAAGCAGAAGATGCCCAAGGATCTCCAGAGGTGTCAGACATAAGACCACCACCTTCCAAGAGTGAAGAGAGCCTTTGAGGAAACAAGGGCTAAACAAACCCTTGTTTGTAAAATGCTGGAGGCTGCAACTGGGAAAAGAGAAGGCTGCCTGTAGAATCTTCTAAAAGTCAGTTTGGTTCTAAGAGGCAGAGGGGTGGAGGGGTCGCGGCTATACAGGTGAGTCCAGCACTTACATGAAAAAGGGGCAGGCTCCTGAGCAGAGGAGTCTGGGTGAATCCCCTGCCCCTACCCCCAACCCAGACTCCCACTGCCATCTGGGAAATGCCACTTCAGATCTGAACTTCAGATTCCTGACAGCCTCCAGCGTCAGGAATACAAGGGTTTTACGATTAATAGGGTAGTTTCTCTCTTCCAACTCAGTATTAATTGAGTTATGAAAGTAATATAGTTTTCCTGTCTTCCTCACCCAGACTCCCCTAACGGGGGTGTTCACATCTCACACAACCACAATACAATGATCAGAAGCCAGGAATTAACATTAGCATATTTAGCTACATTAAAATCTAAATTTAGTCAATTTTAACTAAATAAATTAAAATTATTTCAATAATAATAAAAAAAAATTTTTATTTTAACTTTTTAACATTTTTAAAATAGAAAATGCCAGGGCGCCTGAGTGGCTCAGTCGGTTGAGCGTCCGACTTCAGCTCAGGTCATGATCTTGTGGTTCGTGTGTTCAAGTCCCGCATCAGGCTCTGTGCTGACAGCTCGGACCCTGGAGCCTGCTTCAGATTCTGTGTCTCCCTTTCTCTCTGTCCCTCCCCCCTCACGCTCTCTCTCTCTCTCTCTCTTTCTCAAAAATAAAATAAACAGTAAAAAAATTTTTTAAAAAATTTTTTAACGTTTATTTATTTTTGAGACAGAAAGAGACAAAGCATGAACGGGGGAGGGTCAGAGAGAGGGAGACACAGAATCTGAAAGAGACTCCAGGCTCTGAGCTGTCAGCACAGAGCCTGACGCGGGGCTCGAACTCACGGACCGCGAGATCATGACCTGAGCCGAAGTCGGCCGCTTAACCGACTGAGCCACCCAGGAGCCCCAAAAAATTTTAAATATTAAATGCCACACACAAAAATAGAACACAATGAATCTTCATGGATACATTGCAATAACCCAAGAGGCCTAGCTATAACAATTATGAGCTCAGACCCCAAGTCTTCCTAGTCCATCTGTAAATATTTTATTCTTGAGGAACCTTCTATTTTTTTTAATGTTTATTTATTTTTGAGAGAGAGAGAGAGAATGAGTGGGGGAGAAGCAGAGAGAGAGGGAGACACAGAATCTGAAGCAGGCTCCAGGATCTGAGCTGTCAGCACAGAGCCCGACACAGGACTCAAACTCATGAGCCGTATGAGCCGTGAGATCATGACCTGAATCGAAGTCAGGCGCTTAACCAACTGAGCCACCCAGGCACCATGAGGAACCTTCTAGCAGACTAATTCCAACCAAGTAACAGATAGCAAAACATGTTTTAGCAACAGGAATAGCAGAGAGCTTATAATATTTTCAGTTGCAGATCTAAGAGAAAACAAAGGTGTGGCTCAGGGTAGAGGAATGGAATGTAAATGCTTTCAAAAAGTAGAAACTAGAGGGGCACCTGGGTGGCTCAGTTGGTTGAGCGCCCCACTTCGGCTCAGGTCATGATCTTGCTGTCCGTGAGTTCGAGCCCCACATCAGGCTCTGTGCTGACAAGCTCAGAGCCTGGAGCCTGCTTCAGATTCTGTGTCTCCCTCTCTCTCTGCGTCTCTTCCGCTCATGCTCTGTCTCTCTCTCTGCCAATAATAAATAAACACTAAAAAAAAAAAAAAAATTTACAAAAAGTAGAAACTAGAATGAGACAAATAACAACCAAAAAAGAGAGAGAAAGAGAAAAAGAGAGAAGGGGGTTGAAAGCAGAAAATAGAAAACTCTGCTCCTTGTCTCTCATAAAATTTGCAATTCGACAGGAATCAGAGCTGAGAAAATGGAACCTGCCCTTGTCTCTCTTTTTAGTGACCTTGTGTTTAGCTAGTTGAGGAAGTAGAACCTGGAGAATCAGGAATCGTTTGGAGGAACTGCTAATGGAAGAATTGCTCTTTGGATCCTTGACCAGGACCCAAAGGTAGAGTGGCCACGGTCTGGGCTCAACTAGCTTCATGACCCTCATGGAGACAGGGCTGGGCTCCTATAGGCTCCCATGGGCTCCCCTGGTGTTGCACCCACTGAGTCCCAGACATGTAGCAAAACCAAGTTCAAACTGGCCTTCCCCCCATTCCCACAGTTTGCAATGTTGGGAAGAACAGGGCACATAGAAACAGGTATTTGCATGGTGCATGGGGCATCAGGAGTGTGGAAGGGGCTGCACCAAAGAGACGGCACCCAGGGTTCATCTGACAATATGCAAACTCATTGTTATCTGGTAGGAGAACCAAAGGAGGTCAGGCGTATATTCATTTAGCAGATGTTGCCAGAGCACCATTCTAGGCACTGGCGCGCACTCATCAGTAGAAGGGACTTGGTTGCAGCCCCATGGACAACCATCAGAGAAGCATACTAGAAGGGTCTCGTTAGAATAACTGTGGAAAAGGAGGACAAGGTGTGAGACTGTATCAGCAGTTGCTGGACCCATCCTGAGTGTGTGTGTGTGTTGGAGGATGGACAAGGGAACTGAGATCTGAAGAATGAAAAAGTAGGAGCTCTAGACAAGAATGGTTAATGGAGGAGGACAGAGAGTGGTCTAGGCAGTAAAAACAGCACATGCAAAGACCCTGTGGTGAGCAGCAACATGATGTCAAGGGAAATGGAAAAGGGCCAATGTGGCTGAGGCAGAGAGGGCCAGGGTGTTGAGAGAGGAGGCTGGGGAGGTGGGTGAGGCCGGCCAGTGCAGGATCCTGGCTGGCATCCAGGTAACATGGGGATGACAAGCTTTTGTTTGTAAGAGAAAACCTGATTCACAGTGGCTCAAACAATGAGGGAAACTGCATCCTCTTGCTAGCATGGCAGGCTGAAAGACTGGTTAGTTTAGGGAATGAATAAAGTTGTGTTTTCCTTAGGCTTGTTTCTCCTATGGTTACATGTGGCTGGCACAGTTCTAAGCATCATTTCCAGCCACAAAAATGTCCGGTGGAAGAGGGGGGACTGTTTCTTCCCTTGTCTGTCTTTTTTTGAGGATGGAGAATATTTCCTAGAAGCTCCCAGGCCCTCAGATGTGACCTCCCTTCTCCTTGGCCAGAGCTGGGCCCCACACCCATCCCTAAGGCAATCTCCTGGGGAGTGCAGGATGAAAAGGGATTGCTGGACCCACGGGGATTTCTCTCTGAGTCACCAGGGGAAGGACTCACACCAGAAAATATGTGTGGGCTCTGCCACCCCAGCCCATCGGGTCTCCCCCAAGCTGTGCACCCCCCTCCCCAGGTGGTCTCTCCTGACCCTGGCATTCACTCCTGGAGGCAGGGGCCCCTGGAGATGCTGGAAGTGTCCTCACACTACCCAGGTGTCTCTTTGAGGACCTTCTCTTTGGACCAGAAGGAGCAGCCTTGGCCCATTTTGCAGATCAAGCGAGGCCTTCTTTCCGGTACAGTCAGTAATAAGGAAACAAGAATGGAAGCTGGTTTGGCCCCCGGGTGAGGATGGGAGACGCTGACGGGGAGCGGGAGAAGATCTGTGGCCGGCCTGGGAGAGTTCTCAGGTTGGAGAAGAGAAAGATCGCTGGAGCAGAGCTGCACCCACAGGGACACCTGGGCCTGGGCGGGGCGCCACACGACGACACTGCTCCCTGCTGGCGGCCGTGCGAGGCCTCCCATGAAGCCGGCCTCGTGTCCACGCGTGAGGGGAGACTACTCTTTTCTCTCTTATCTGCCCACAATTGGGACGTGTAATTAGTATCTTTGAATGGAAACGGCTTGGCTACGTACGTGCTCGTCCAGAGAGAATAAGATCCTCACGGGTGGAGGGAATAACGTGAGCAAAGGCTCGGAGGTGGGAAAGGGGAACGCGGTGTGGCAGGGGGTCCGGATGGAGGGGGCCGCCAGCGCCAGGCGCCAGGGTTGGGCCTTATCCTGTGGCAACTGTGAGTCACCCTGCAGCGGGGCGTACCGGGGCTGGTGTCGCGTGCGTGGACACGTGCTGGGGGGGAGGGGGGGAGGGACTAAGTTTGCGGGAAGTCTAGTCCCTCTAGGGGCCCTGTGGCACGAAAGGGCCGGCCTCCATCCTGGAACAGAAAGTCCTGGTACGTTCGAGCGGGAAGGGGTGCTCGCGGGAGGGGTCGCGCGCGCACGTACACCGCCCTGTAGCCCACTGCAAGCCCACGTGCACCGCCCCCCGCGCCGCTGTTCCTCCCCCAGGGGGCGTGTCGTGGGCGGGGCTACTCTCGGCTGCAGCTCCGAACCAGCTCCAGTCCAGCCGCCGGGTGCGGCGGCTCCGGGGGTGTCCTAGCCTTCTCGGTCCTGCCCGGTGACTCACCGCCGGGTGGGGCCGGCACACAAACACCCCGCGGGCGGGGACCGGGGTGCGGCGAGGGCTTTAAGTGCTGCTCCTGCGACTCTGCGTCGTCCCCAGAGGTCCCGCCACCTGAGGTCCTCACAGGATCCCAGCGAGGGAGCCCCGGTGCTCGCAGCCTCCAGGCACAGCTAGCGGGGAGAAGTTCCCGAAGCCCAGCCCTTGGAGCCCCTATTCCCCTGCCCTGAGCTGAGCCCCTCAAGCATCTAGGGACCGAGTATCCCCTCCTAGGAGGCGCGGGGTTCCTGGAGCTGAGGGAGCGATTTGGGAACGGGGACCAGGTGGCTCCTGAACAGAGCGGGAGGCACACATACCTCATTGAACTTCGTATAAGGGAGCGTCTGGATTTGCGGTTGAGACCATGGGAAAAGAATTCTTGGACAGTTCGTCTGGGTTTCCGAATTTGGAATGCCAGAACTCTGGATGTCGGGGCTGGGTTTCTGCACACTGTGCAGGGCGGGGGCGCGAGAGGGCTGGGCCCGGCTTGTGGGGAGGAATGAAGTGGACAGGAGGTAGGAACATGTGCTTTAATAAGGCAGCAGACCAAGGGCCCGCCAAAGGCCAGGGGCTGGAGGGCAGTCACCCATGTCTCTCTTCTGTCGTTATATGAGGCCTAATTTTTTCCCAAAACCTGAGAAAGTCTCAGAGGCCTGGTTAGCAGTCTTGTCGATGGTTTCCTGGGTGGCCTTGGCCACCTGGTCCATGGCTGGGGAAGGAAAGGAGAAAGCAGGTGAGGGCCAGGCCCTGGGAACCAGAGTCCTCTAGGGTTAGCCTGGCGTGGGTCTCCATCCCCAGGAAGCAATGTGGGCAGAGGGGCTTCAGAGTGGAGGGTATGTCTGGCTGAGGGCTGAATAGGGTGGGGAGTGTTCTGGGGCTGCCCGCCCTCCTGCCCACCAGCCCCACCAGACCTTTCTGCCCTGCTTCTGTGGCTTGGTCCACCACTTGCTGGGCCGATGATCCTGCCGCAGTCACTGGAACAGAGAGATGTGGCCCTTAGCCCCTATTGAGACACTGCCAACCACAGGGGCCCCACCATTGCCACCTCTATCTGTTCTCTAGAGTAGTGTGTCCTACAGGCCCAAGGGATGAATGCCATCAAAGTCAAGTCCTCTGACTAAAAAGTCCTGTGCCAGTGAGGCATAGGGGCCCTTTCCATGCCTCTGGGGTATTCTTGTTTATTTATAACTCTAGGCTCCTCCCCTCTGGCCTGCTTCTCTCTTCATCTCCAGGATTGCAGAGAAAACATCCCAACAGAGGCTGGAGCTGGCATCTGGGTTGTGGCTGCTCCTGGGCACGGCCCGGGAAGAACCCTGTCCCTCTTTCACAATTTCTCCCCCAGAAGCCTGGCCCCGATGCCTGAATTCCCACCACCAGTGCACGGGGGCCCCACCCTTGCAAGGCCCTTTCACCACTGCTTTTCTCCCATGCCTCTCCCCAGAAGGCACACAAACAATGATGCTGGTGCCTCTGTGGGCATGCAACTTAAGGCATTAGGAAATGAAGTCCAGAAAGGAGGTGACACTTCCAAAGTCAGGCCATCTCCCCTGGACCAGAGTTTGTGCCTGTGGTGAACAGGGCTTCCAGGGGCTCAAGTGGGTCCCACCTGCTAGGGGAGCAGACAAGTGGCTCCAGCCTCCAGAGACCTGACTCATCCTTGCAACTGAACCAGAAAGAAGCTGCTTTTACTCAGACCCTGGGTCAGGGAGGTGTAGGGGGGTCAGGCAGGCCCCGGGTTTGCGGCCCACAGAGGCTCCCGTGGGTCCTTATATGACAGAACCAGTCGGGGCCACAGAGAAGGAGCTCTTGCACCCAATTTACAGATGGGGAAAGTGTGGCCCAGAAGGAAGGGTCTTGTAGACAGGCTTCCTGGTAGCATTTTAGTTTCAGGGGAGCAACTGTGGGCATTCCCTGGGGCACTGATGAAGGAGGGGGTTAGTTTGGGTGTTGTCTGTTCGTTTGGATATGTGCAGCACAAGTTGGGAGGTGGAGTCCCAGGGGAGGCCGAGCTGGGCTGGAAAAGCCACAGCTGGTGGGCCTTAGGGCAGGGGTCTCCACACATTTCCTAACCCCAGTCCACCCTATGCCACCCCAGCTGTGTAATCTCAGGTCCCAGGAGGAAAGAGCTGGAGGTGGAGAAACAAGGCTGGGGACCTACCTTCTGAGGTGAGGGGTGAGAAGGCCCTCTGGGTGAGGACTTAGAAGGAAATGATTTTTTTTCTGTAGGACGGGGGAGGTAGGGGAACTCAAAGCCGGGTGGTGGCAGGAGGAGCCCCTTCTGCCATCCCGTCCGGTCCAGTGCGCCTCTGAGACCCCAGCGAGCAGAAATGGATCTCTCGGTGCACGGGGTGCGAAGTGCGCTCTCTCCGTGGACCTTCACCCTCCCCTAAGGACCCAGGTGGGGCTCCTCACGATCGGGGTGTGGCAACTCCCCTCCCGCGCAGTCTGTTTATATTGGCTCCTGGCAATGCCCACATCGCCCCGAACTCCTGGGGCACCAATGTTTCCCCACCTCCCTCAAGGCATCATCCCTTGGACTGGGCGGGGTGGGCGTCCTGCCGGATCCCTGCATCTCAAGGGAGGGCCCTCAGGACCCGGAGCGCCGCACCGATTTTCGGGATGCATAACCCAGGACTTCTGCCTCCGTGAGTCCCTGCAAGTGCCCCGGGTCGCAGCACTGTCCTCACCTGCTTCCTGGGCCGCCCCCTGCACTTGCTGCTTCAGGTCCTGCAAGCTCTTGCTGGCCATGACTGCCGGGGGTCTGCGAGGTCGTCAAGGATAGCTGCAGCGAAGTTGGATCCTGTTCACCTTGGCTGCGACCGAAGCTCCAGCTCTGGTTTTTAAGGCGCCCCAGGGCTGTCCCGCCCCGCGCGGGGCGGGGAAGAGGGGGCGCGGGGCGTTTCCCAGCAGACCGCCCCGGGGACTGACTGGGCCCTGCTCCAGCCTCCGCGGACGGAGAACACATCCTGGCCTCAGGCCGGCCGTGGTGGGAAGGCGGTGCGGGGTCTGAAGAGGGGCACGGGGCTGCAGGGGGTGGGGGTTGGATCAGGGGTCCACAGAGGGGCAGGAGTGGAAGGGGGCGCACACACCAACAGCCTCCACATCGCCCGACCCCTTGTCCCTAACCCTGAGGATCCGGTGGGCGCTGGGTGAGCGCCAGGTCAGAATCTCAAGGCTGGAATTGACGTTAATAATAGCAGCTGCCTTTTATTGAGCATTTACCTTGTGCCAGGCTCTGCCCTCAGGCTTTTCAGCCTTTTGTATAATCTTTGTAACAACTTGGTGAAATGAGTTCATGAACTCACCTGGCAGGGACTCGAATCCATGTGGTGGGCTTTAAACCCTAGGGCCCTGACAACAGGCAACCCAGCTGTTCCCACACACTCAGCCTGGACACTGTAGAATGGCTGTCTGTCCTGCCGCCACTGGGACCAGGCAGGCTCAGAATGGAGAGGGTCGAGTAACTCCCTCTCACAGAGAGCCAGTCACTGGCAAGCGCTCCTGGGGGAGGAAATAGCCCAAAGTGGAGGGGGAACAACGGAAGGAGCTGCAGGGTGCACCCAGCCCAGGGCGCAATCTAAGGTCACCAAAGCCCAACGAGTTAGGCAGGAGGCGAGGCTCAGAGAGGGCAGGGACGTACCCCGGTCCACACAGCGAAGAAGCGGATGGCCAAGCCTCAGACCGCTCAGTTAGCCTTTCCCTGGATGGAGCGCACGCAGGACGGACATGGTGGCCACGTGGGGGCGCTGGGAGAGGGGTTAGAGACCTGGGCGAAGGCAGGGGAGCCAGAGATCCTGAGGACAGCAAAATGACCCAAGAGCCGTGACCCCCTGGAGCTCAAGTGTGCACGTAGGGCCTCCACTCCACCCTGCATTCTCCCACTTTGGAGCCCGCCTGCGCAGCCTGGAGGCCTCCACTGCACACCATTTCTGCCATGGGTGCTGCATCTTAACCCTCCCTTTAATGCCTGCCCTCTGATTCTTCCTCTCCGGGCCTGTCTCTGCGTCTCTGTGGAAGCTTCTCCTATTCTGGAGCTCTGGGGAGGCCTCCCCTATCCAGGGCCACTCCGCTAGGGCATGCCCTGCCTCTAACAGTTGGTGGCGGGGAGAGGGTGGGGGGAGGTGGCAAGGAGAGGCCCGGGATAAACCTGGGAGCGGCAGCTGCGGTGTGGGATGTCTGGAGGCACGCGTGCACACACAATGAGAATGGATTAATGGAGATAAGGGCAACCCTGGTCAAGTAGAAGGGGCAGGCACTGAGATCAGAAGGGAGGAGGGGACACCACGCCCTGAGGAATCCAGCCCTGCCACTCCCCCGCTCTTCCTGGCCTCTGGCAGGGCCAAGCCCAGAGCCCAAAGGCACTGCAGGAGCCAGACTGCTGCCTGGGGGACTCCCCGGAGACTAGCCTAGCCCCTGCCCTCCTGAATTCCCACCAGTAGCACCAGTCTCTTTGGCCAGAAGGGTCTTTTCACTGCAGCAGTGAAAATAGCAGTGGCTATTAAAGTTATTCAATGCCGGTGCTGGTCCCAGTGGGCAAGAACAAGACAGGGAGGCACAGTCTGGCCCAAGCAGGTGACAATAGAGACAGCTGGTGGTTCTAAAGCAGCAGGAACTGCAGTCATACCTCTTGGGTTCAAATACCCCTTAGGGCAAGCCCATCTCTCTGAGCCTCAGTGTCCCCATCCTTGATGGGGAGGGGGAAGACTATAACAGAATCTCCTCAAATGCTATTGTGATCATTTAAATGGACTGAAGGATGTCCAACACTCAGCCCAGCACCCCACAGTTCACCTGGGGCTTCTCAGGTGAGGAGAGGGGCAGGGAGAGATCATTTGTTCCTCTAGCGAAGTCACGTGCAGCTGCAAGAGCAGAAAGCGCGTAACATGGGTTTAAAGGCTAAGAGCACTGCAGGTGCCGTGGGGCAGGGAACAGGCTTCCTGGACAGGGTGAACCTAGATGTTTGGCATATGACCCCAGGAACAGGCCCTGAATATGTGTCTAGGGTGGGGGTCAAGCAGCAGGGACCCTCCCAGGTTCCTTCAGCTGAGGCAGAGTACACTGGGAGCCTGGTGATGCACTGTCCCCAGGGGCTGGGTCTAGGTGTCCCCTTCCCCTTGATACCTTATCGGGCCGGCTCCTCTCTTTCCCTTACAGTCCAAAGAGCTCTCAGGCACACCCAGGCCCCAGACGGACTCCTCCTGGGCATGCACAGGCCTGCTTGTGTGCCTGCATCTGGGTCTGGAAGCAGGGAAACCCTGACTGCCCTGAACCTTCTCCAGACCCTTCACTCCTCCCATGGTAGGTTTGGGGGTCTGGGGGACCCGCAGCCTCCTGCTCCTCTCAGCCTCCACAGCAGTGGGTGCCCATGGCCAGCAGAGTGGGATACACTCCTGCTCGGCTGGGCTCAGCTGGGTTCCCAGCCCCCAGGGCTGCCTGGCACCCCTGCTCCCCACCCCTGAGGCAGTATGGGAAAGTGCTGTGGTCTCGGGAGTGTCTGCATCAGGGTGTGGACTGAAGCTCAGGCTCTGGCGCCCAGGGCTGGAGGCATGGGGCAAGTCACTTAGATGCTCCGAGCCCAAACCGTCTGGGCATCAAAGGGGATGCAATCCCCCCACTGCCTATGAGCGAGCCCCCAGGGCATGATGCCAATAGCCCTTCGTGTAGGACACCTACCAGCCGGATCCCCAGGTGGTTTTGAAACATCTGCCAGAAGTACCTGAGTCCACCCGGTCAGGGTGGCCGGAGCAGAGCATGGGACTTAACTGGGTGGCTCTGGAGCCAGGCCACCTTGCCTTCTGCCCGGTCTCTGCACCTCCTAGGCTCTGTGCCCCTGAGCAAGGTATTTAACCTCTCTGTTCCTCAGTTCATTCTCAGGGACACTGGGGTCACCTGAGACACCACCGGTTTGTTCTGAGGATTAAATTAGGTAAAGTGCTCGAGGCTGGGAGGAGCTCACTTTTACTACTTTCGAGGCGGAGGCTCACTCTCCTGCATCTCAGCTGTCCTTTTTTCTAATGATACTTGACAGGACTTCGTGCCGAAGGACAGGAAAGCCCAGCTCCAAGCAGTGGGAGCTTGAGGCTGGGTGGGGCCAGGCAGGAGGAGCCATGGGGTCACAACCTTCTGTGCTGAGGAGGACTCAGACAGGTCTTGCTATGGGTTTGCACTTTAGATCTTTGAAAGTTACCATCTGTTCCAGGAGGGGTGTTAGGTTGTCTGGGGGAGCCAAAAGCAGGGCAGCTTCCTCCATTATAAAAAGCAACTGGTGCAGGGGCCCTGAAGGCAGTGCCTGTGTCAGAAGGTTCCCGAAATGCCCAGGGCATGCCTGGAGGGTACCTGGCTCCAGACCTGCTTCCCAGACCCACCAGCAGGCTGGCCTGGCTCCTGTTCCTTGGGGCAGGGTGGGGGGGGAGGGTGTTGGGGGGGTGGTTGGGGGGGGTGGGGGGTAGGAGATTTCTTCATGAATGAGGCAGCACAGAAAGGAAGCATGGGCATGTTATGGTCAGGAATGAGGACTTGAGTTTTATTTGGAATCATTAAAAACAAAAATTCACAGCAGCATCTGTGGGGTCAGAAGGACCAGGGGGCAAAGCGACTGATTGAGGGAGGTGAGGGAGGTGAAGGCAGTGTAGGAGGACAGGCCCTGTGGATGGTCAGGTGTGGGAACATGGGCAACCCAGGTCACGCTCCAGGGCTGGGCAGTCCTCATGCCCGGTGGGGTCCAAGGCAGAGGGCTCTTCCTCCTCCATGGCTGACTTGCATCCCTCTAGTCTCCTCCACTCTTGGCCTGGGAGAGAGAGTGACCTTCACACACAGCTCCAGGCTCCCACCCTCAGTGGCCACCCTGAGTGGGGTGGGGCTGGGAGCCATCTCTGCCCCTCCGCCCTGAGGAGCCTTTCATGAAGGGACCTCACATTCAGGCTGAGGGGGCTGCAGAGGGTCACAAGGCTTCCCTGAGGGCTCAGGGGACCCTGGGAGGGAAGCAGGATTGCCCGGGTACCCTCTGTTCTCTGGGAGCCCAGCACCTACCTCCTCAGCCACTTCTTCTTCTGCTTTGGCTGCCTTGTCCTCCTGCGAGGGAGCTGGTTGCTCCAGGTCCTCCTGTGAGGGAGAAAAGGGGATGTGGGACAGTGTGGAGGGCGCAGAGGCCCCAGCTTCTCTGCACCCACGGCTTATCCACCTGGCCTCAAAGAGGAGCAGAGGCCCTTATCACCTTGCTGTGTGCGGTGTGTCATCACCAGACTAACCAGAGGAGCGACAGAGCCTCACGTGAGGACCCACAGCGGGGGCTCTGATGATGCCGAGGCTTTATGGGGGCACCATGTATCTTGGAGCCCAGCTTCACACACTCCTGAACTAATGTGGAGTCTCTGGGCAGTCTGTGGTTGGGCCTTCTTATGGAGGAGGACTGGTGGGGTGGGGTGGAGTGAGGTGGGGGTGGGCCATGGCCCTGAAGCCCTAGGCCTGACCCCACCCTCAGTGTCCCTGCATCATATGATCACACACTCTTGTCCTACTGAGCCCCCAAATAGCCCTAGGAAGAGGGGTGTTTTTACTGTTCATACTGAGGCCAGGGAGGCCACGTATCCAGCTAAAAGCCTCACAGCTCAAAGCAATGGGGCTGGTAGAGATCAGGTTCGGCTTGCTCCAGGCCCATCCCTATCCCTAGTAGCAGCTTTCTCTCTCCCTGCCTCCTGGATGGGCTCCGGGCTCAAGCTGGTCCGGTTGGAGCCAGCAGGCATTATACAATCCTCCCCACTTCCTGTCTCCTACCACCTTACCCCCACTCAGACACTTGCCTAAGGTGACCTGCCCAGGAGGTAGTCGAGTGACAGCTGTGGGCAGGACCAGACTGGGTGATCAGCCTGGATCCCAGTCTTAGCACCAACCTCTGGAGGATTCTGCCGTCTCCATGCTACTTCTGGGACATCCTTGGTGGATTGGGGCTAAAATGGGCACTGAACTCTGTCAGTCACAGTAGGGGCAGCTTTCCAGGCAAAGGGTAGGTGGCCACAGGCCAAGCCCTACCACCCAAGGCAGATGCATGAGGCCAGTGGAATGAAAGGGCTGTCAGACAGGCAGTGCTGCATCCTTCTATGGTTCACTGGAGGAAGAGTTGTGACTGGTTTCTGGGTGTCACCAGGAAATGTCTCCCTTGGGGCAGCTACCCCCACTCCAGGCCCTGGGGTGGCTCCATGGGCTTACCAGCCCTCCTTCAAGGCCAGAGAGGAGTGCCCAGGCTCCCTCTCAGAGGCCCAGTGGCAGCCTGACCCCACCCCAGTGCCTCCTTTGCTCTCCCGAGCACCTATGGGTCCTGCCCGGAGGCACAGATGATGATGGTATAGTCTCCTGCCTCTGTTGGGTGCTCACCATGACCCAGGTGTAACAGTTTCGTGGGGGCCATTTCCCTGCACGATCACACAATGTCATAATGAAACGGGGACGGTCACCCCCTCCCTTGTTACAGGAGACGTAATGGAGGTGCCAAGGGGTTAAGTAGCTTCCCAAGGTCATATAGCTGGCAAGGGGCAGAGCTGGGAATGAGCAGACGGGTTGCCAGCTCTAAAGAGGTGGAGAACCTGTGCTGGCCCCAAAAGTGGACACCTAGGCGCTGCCTCCTGGCAGGGGGGCTTCCTCCCCTTCCTCCCATCTGCTCCCTGAAGCAGGGGTCCTCATTGCTGGGTGCCTCAGAGAGGCCCATGCCTGGCCCCCATATAAACCGGGCCCCCACCACGGCCTCACACTCATGCAGAATCTCTCCCAGCACAGGCCCTGCAGCCAGGCTGCCCTGGGAACCCCAGGCTTGCGGGACTAGCCCCTGGGACCTTGGTCACATAACGTAACCTCTCTGGGCCTCATTTCCACACCCGGTCTCTGCAGATTCTGTGCCGATTGAATGAGTTAATACGTGTAAAATGCTTGAAGCAGAGCCTGCTCTGTGGTGCGTGCGGGAATAGCTCACCTAGCGGGCCTCCACCTCCTGGGGGCGCCCAACTGCGCCTGCGCCCTCTGCACCTGGCAGCCCACGGGGGCACACACCCGCGCCCGTGCACAAAAGTGGAACGCGGGGTCAGGACCCTCGCTGCTTTGTCACGAGGGGGCGCTGCTTCCCTGCTCCTCCCACCAGGCCCTGGAGGGAGGCTGGACAGCAGGCCGGTGGGCGGTGACTTTGGCAGCTCCAGCCTGGTGTCTTCTGCCCTGGAGGCCGCCTGTCACTGCGTGAGGCCCACAGCACCCTGCTTTCACTAGTGAAATGTGATACCTCCCAAATGCGGAGCCTCAAGAGGACGTGGTTTTGAGCCTCACTTTCCAGGTGGGCCCCAAACTGCCCCCCTCACAAGAGGAATTATGAGGGTTCTAGGTGTTAATGGGTTTGAGAAACACCAAGCACAGACCATGGGCCCCCTCAATCTCTGCTTCCCTATATGTCATGAGGCAATACTGCTTTCTCCTCAGCTAGCCTCTCTGGGGCCCAGGAGAAAGGATGAGACTGGCCCGAGAGCCAGGGCCACAACTGGATCTCACCTTTCGAATCACTCCGGAGGTGATGGCGATGTTCTCTGCCTCCTCCACCGTCTTGATGGCCACTGTGTTGACGCTGGTGACCACGGCCTCACTCACAGCATTGGCCTGCTCCTTGGTCTTCTCAGCCACTGCAAGAGGACTCTGGCTGGCCGTGGTCCTGACCCCTCCTTGTCCGGGCCTGGCCTGCCCAAGTCAGGCTGAGCAACCTCTTTCTCGGGGCGCTCAAAACTCCGCCTCTACTGGAGGCCCTGGACTGCGCCTTTCTCTGACTCCGGGGGAGCCCTGTTGCAGGAGGGGCACCCTGGGTCTATCTAACCTCATGTGCATGTACAGCTTAGGCTTCTAGTTGGAGTGTAGGAGGACCCTGGGCTTGAGCCTTCAGTACCAGGTTGCAGTCCCTGGAGGTCCCAACCCCCATATCCCCTGGTCCTGGGCCCCTTACCTGAGGTCACACTCTGCACAACATTCTCCTTGGTCTTGGCTCCTGGGGAGGAAATGGAGGCGTCAGCCTACTCCTCCTGGTGTTGGGAGCGAGGTGGTCAGGGCAAACACACAGAACAGCTGAACAAGCTGTGGGGTTAGTAGGGGGGTGAGGTGGCGTCTGGGGGCCGGCAGTCCCTTCAAAGGCTGCTTCCTGCTGTGTCTGGAGAAAGGGGATAGATGGGAAGTGGATAGGACAGGACAGGGGGATGAGAGAGACCAGGCCTGAGGTAGGGTCCAGGCCCACCTGGGTGTGGTCTGGGCCTCGGAAGCAGTAGCAGGACGGAGCTGAGTCACCAGCTTCCGAGGGGCTGAAGGGGGTGGGGTTGCACAGGACACTGGGGCTCAGGCTCCTCTCCCCTGCTTACCCTTCCCTCTGAACAGGGTGGGGACCTGGGGCTCCGCTGCTGAGCACCTTCCTGCTCTAGGCTCAAGCTGGCTTCTTATCTGAGCACAAGGGCCTGGAGGGGATGCTGGCGTGGGGGACACTGGTCTGCATCTGTGCACTCATGTGTGTGTGTGTGTGTGTGTGTGCGCAAACAAGTGTGTCTGAAGGCCGAGTGCCCCTCTTGCTGTTCTGCTTCAGAGACCCTGGAGCCCTGAAGAGGTCAGAGCAGACACTGTGGGGTGTGGGGGATGGTATGTAGGGGGATGGGGTGCTCCAGGGCGTGGAGACCCTGACCCAATGGCCAGGACCTCATCCCCACCCAAAATGCCCCCCTGGGGCTGGGGGAGAAGGTTGGCCCAGGGTAACTGGGCACCCCCGCCTCTCGCCTCCCAGTCGCTGCACCCTGCCACGCCCTGCTTCGCCCAGACTCACCCACATACATGACCCCCTCCTTGGTCTTCTCAGCTGCTTCCGTCACCCCTTGCTTGGTCTTCTCCACAGCGCCCACCACACCCTCCTTGGCGATGGAGAAGCCCTTCTTGAAGACGTCCATGGTGGTGGGCAGTGCCAGGAGACTGACTCTTCCAGTGAGCTATGGCTAGAGTTGGCAAGAATGCTGCTGCAGCCGCTGTCCCCGCTGCTGCCGCTGCCTCTTATTGACGCCCATGAAATATTGATGATGCGGCGGCGGCTGGCTGGTGGGAGCTCAGCCAGCAGGCCAGGGAGGGCGGGGGAGGAGGCCCGCCCTCACCTTCTCCGGGGGTTGGGCAGTGGGGTCCGGCTCCCCTGGGCCCCCGCTGCCCAACCCTTCCCTCCTGCCCCCTGCCCTCCAGGGAGTGGCGCAGGGGGCTGGACACATCCTAATCCATCACTGTCCCTCATTCATTCGCTGCCCTGCCCACCCACAGCCTGGCTGAGTGCTCTCAGGCCTGGGGCTGTTGCGTCTGTATACATCTGGGACAGAGGTGGTCAGGCAGGGGAGGCACCTTTGCTACCAGCTTCTCAGGTAGGGCAGGGGGGCAGGGCCATGTAGGCCAGGGGTTAAACAACAGTGGCCAACTTCCCAGACCGGCCCGGCCTGCCTGGTTACTCACTAGCACCGTGGATGCCCCCACGTCCCAGGGCTCCATCAAGGGCATCAAGGGCAGTGGGGGAGATGGGGCAGAGGAGCACACAAAGGGCCTCCCAGTGTCCTGGCCTCTGGCTAACACTGTGTGACCCTAGGACAGCTTTCTCTCTCTGAATCTCCGCCCACCTGCTGGCTCCCACCCACAGCCCAGTGGTGAAAGGCGCTGAGTAGGCACGAAGTGCCCCTCGCTTCCTGGCCACCAGCATGGATGGGCAGCAGGTTCCCTGAGACTGAGCCGACCGCTTCCTGCAGACCCACCTCGAGGCTTGTGTTCTTCTCCTGACTCCCATGGGGACGTGTTGGTGGGGCCACCCCCCTGTGTGTTCCACACCTCCAGTGTCCCTGACCTGAGTCCTCTTAGAGAGGCACAGGAACCGGTCTGAGTTGTTGGCTGCCTCTGCAGGGGATGGTGGAGGTAGCTAGGGGGAGGTGAGGGGGGTGCCGGACGAGGCTCACCGGGTGGGCCGGCCCAGGCCACTTCCTCTCTTTGTTGTCCCTGTGCTTTCTTTTCCTTCTGAGGCTTAACTTGAAGACGACGTCAACATCACCAGCAGTGTGTGGAGTCACTTGCTGCGGCTGAGCCCGTCCCACGGCCAAGATGATCCTGACGCTGCTGCTCGGTCTCGGGGGGCCCCTAGGCTGGGGGCTGCTGGGGGCCTGCGCCAAGGCTTCAGGTAGCAGGCTCTCTGATCCACATAGCCCAAGGCCGCCTGCGGTCTGGAGGGCAGAGGCTATCGGCGGGGACCCCGTCAGACGGTAAGGAGGACCTCGACCTTGGGGGGGAGGTCATGGTACAGGATCTGAGTCCCAGCTCAGCCAGAACAGAGTCTCTTGGAACCTCAGTTACCCATCTGTGAAATGACCTAATATTATGTACCTGCTGGGGCCGGCTGTGAGGCTGAATGAGATGCCTGGTGTCAGACTCCCTTCAGGAGGCCACCACCCCTCCAAGCCCAGACTGGGCACCCCAGGGCCCAGCCTAAGGACCACAGGAAGTTCCTCACCTGGCCCATGACAGGGAGCAACCTGGAGGTCGGGCAAGAGCATTTCTTGCCATCAACCACTTAGCAAGGGGTGATGAGGGGCAGTAGTTCCAGAAGTTTCCAGCTGGCCTGGCAGTGTCTCCCCTTCTTTGAAGTAAGTCAACTGACATTTGAGCCTCTGTGAGGCTGGCCTGGCATAAGTCATGGAAGAGAGACACTCCTGGGGACTGGATTTTTATCTGAGTGCCCAGGAGGACTGGTGTGGGTCTTCAGCCTACCCCTGAGAGACAAGCAGTGAGTAGACAGGGTACTCTGTCCTATTTCCAGACAAAGAGGAAGCCACGGCATCCATTGAGTTCTGCTTCAGTGCCCCTCTGGAAATGAGTGGAATGGTCTTGTGACTGAACCAGGACACCATTTCCCAGTCTTTTATTTGTCCAGACTCAGGTGCCCCTGCTGATAAGGTGCTGGACCTGTGGGTTCCTCCTCGGGGTGTTCCACAGTCAGAACAGCAGGTGCCCTCATGGGGTCCCCCTTGGGGCTAGGCACTTTGCCGGGTGTTAGCTTGGTTAATCCTGCCAACAGCCGGGGTTACAGGGGAGGAACCCATGGCTCAGAGAGACTAAACACCTGACCCACGATCACACAGCTAAGGGGATCTAGAACCAGGATCTAGGTCTGACTTCAGAGCTCATGATCTGGTTCCCGAGCACTCAGAGGCAGCCCCACCCCCTAGACGCACTTTATATGCCTACCACACCCCCGACCACAGACACACACACACCAGACTTGGTGAGGGTGTTTATATGGGTTTGGAAGGTGAAAGGGGTCAGTTTACACCCACCCAGAGCCTTCCACCTGGCTCCCTGAGATTCACTATCACATTAGCTTATGGAATGAATCTGCCTGGGACAGTTGTCCTATAAGCTCTGACACTTCAAGGTGAATGTGTTTGTTGGACACTTTCCTGAAAATGGATTTGGCCATGGAAAGGAAAGAGTAATAAGCAAGTGCACACCGACTCTCAGGGAGGGAGGCGCTGGCCAAGTGGGGAGGAGGGGGCCCATCTCTGCCCCACCACCAGGTCGGCTCAGGGCTGGGTGGAGCAGGTGATTCTTGGTGGGGGGCTCCAGCCACCGAACTCTGATTTCAGGTGTAAGAACCAAGCCTCCCTACCCCAAAGCTCCTTTCTTCGGTGACCTGCTTCCTTTTGATAAAAGGGAGGCTCAAGGTCCCAGGTGGATCAAAAAGAGGTAGGAGACACCCCTCTTTCTCCCTACCCCGTTGGCTGTGGGGAGAGGCTTGTGGGCTGCGCTCATCCACTCCCTGGGTGGTCCCAGTGTGTGCACAGCATGTGCAGATGTACGTAGAAGGGATCCCCAGCCCAGGAACACCCGGGTCCCAGGGGAACCCGGGGGGTCCCAGCAGGCCTGCTAGGTCTCCTTCCCACAACCCAGAAGCGGCGGTCCCCACAGGCCCAGCCCAGGTTGTCAAGGTCTCCAGAGGGGCTGGTGTGAAAGGAAGGAAATCCTGCTCAGCTTCCTCGGGCTGATTGCTTCCCGTGCTCTGTAAAGGGACAGGCGGAAATGCTGCTCCAGTCTCCCTCCTGCAGCAGGGGAAGGGGAGGCGGGGCCCCTGCACCATCATCGACAAGACTGCTGGGCCTTGCCCCCCCCACACCTCTTTCTGGAGCTCCAGGGCTATGGCAGGCCTTAGATATGGGCCCAGATTAGACCCTTTGCAAAGAGAAGTTTGAACAGAACAGTTGGGTGCCGGATGCCTGGTCCCAGGGTGGAGGCAGGACGTGGTTGAATGCTCCCCCTGTCCCTGGGTGCCCCAGTCACCCGTGTATTTGGACTCCGTGGGGAGAAGGCTCTTTGGATGCCCCTTGGCTTTGGTGGGAGTGGGACGGAGTGGCAGTTAGGAGGTAGGCTTCTCAGAGCCTGCACTTGCTCCCCCTGCAGGACTGAGCCTGCGTTGAGGACCAGGCTGAGCCCTGGGCAAGGTGCCCCATCTCTACATGTCATGAGAGCTCTGCTGTCTCCACTTTCCGTGCTGTGAGGCTCAGAGGGATGGGGATGCCACCCTGGACCACACAGCTAAGTGACCGATCAGAGCAGGGGCCTGCAACCACCGGGCTGCAAACTCCAGGTGTCTTCTGTCCTGTCTCCCCTGGGATGGTGGTAATGTAGGGAGGCTGCTCCCAGCAGCCCAGCTGGCCCTGGCCACCAGCATCAGCTTCTCTTGACCCATGTACAAGTAGGTAGCATTTGTGATTTTTTTGCAACTGAGAGCCCGTAGCCCAGAGGAGTCAAGCATACGGCTGGAGGTCAGGCCACCAGCCACTGCCATGGCTGTATCTCCTGCACCTGTTCCTGTTGTCAGAAGCACAAGGCCCTGGGCACACTCAGGGAACTCCCACTCTGGACATTGAGTGGGCTTCAGGCTCCTCTGCCAAAGCCCCTTTCAGAGACAAAGCCCTGCAAAATTCTCCCCTGGAGTGGTCATATTCACGGCTGCCTTCAGGGTCTCAGAAAGCAAGGATACCGAGAACACACCCTCCTTCCCCAGAAAGCCTTAAGGACTTAAGGGGCAGTCAGAGGTGAGGTTTACTGGCATTTAAGTGTCCCAGTGGACAATAGCAGCAGCACATCCATAATTCAGAAGGCCCCAGCTAACAGCCCTTTCCCAGCTAGAGGCTCCTCAGCCTCCCACGAAGCCCCTCCCTTTGCCCCCAGGGAGGGGCCGGAAGTGGGAATGTCTCCACATTTCCAGGACTGGGGGAAGGGCCTTGCTCAAAGTCAACCTGAGTCCGGGAAGGGGGAGGGGAGGAGGGCCCAGGCTTCTCATCTCCCATTAAAAGCTCCAAAGGGGTCAGCAGACGCCCTCCTGACTGGGGCAAGGGGTCAGGTGGGGGCCGTGTCAGAGGCCCAGGGTAGCCCAAACCCAGCTGGCCCCAGGAGACGAGGGTGCAAAGAGCGCCCAGGCCTGAGACCAGGAGGCAGCGAGAACAATGGGTGCCTCAGCGAGCCGGGCTGGGGGCTCGGGCGCAGAGGGCCAGCGTGAAGCTGCCAGGAGCTGGAGGAAACCAAAGCAAAGGTCAGGAATGTTCCCAGGGCTTCTGGGCCAGGGCCTGCACTGTGCCAAGGGGGTTGGGCTGCCAAGGGAGGGGGAGTGTGGGCAGGGAGAATAGCTGGAGCCTGAGGTTTGGGCAGGTCAGGAGAGAAAGTTCCTGGGCAGGAAGGGTGGGCGGCACCGCTTCCGGTTCCAGGAGCTCCAGATGGAAAGTCCCAGTCACTCCCTGGCAGGCTGGACCAAACCCAGTGCGCCTGGGCACAGGCCTTCTGGACCCTCAGCAGCAGTTTGGAGCAACGAATGGAACTGTGTTTTGAGTGGGTGTTTCTCAACCTTGGCACGCCTGGCATTTGGGACTGGCTAATTCTTGGTTGTGGGGGTGCCGGGCTGTGCTGCCCACATTGTGGGGTGTTTAGCAGCATACTTGGTCTCCACACACTGGATGCCAGGCGCTCCTCCCCCCTCCCGGTGGTGACGACTGTAAAGGTCTCCAGAGGTTGACAAATACACCTAGCGGCAAAAGTCACTTCACCCCCTGCTGAGAACCACTGGTTTAGAGAAACAATTTTCCCCAGGCCTGAGCCCAAGTTGCAGAATTTCCAGGGAGCCCAGGGTGGGGGTGGGGTGGGGACTGGAGTTTCTGGTCCTGGAACAGTCCGTGAAGGTGGCCATCTCACCCGTGGTCTCCGAACTCTGGACCCAGCAATTTCGCGGTCTCTCTCTCTCTCTCCGTGTTGAGTGAACATTCTTTGCTTAAAATCAGGGCCAGGTCCACGGGCATGTGACTTGAGCAGTCACATAGGGTGCACCCACAGAAGGGCCTCACTCTTGGTTTAATCTTTATTGTTGTCCCGTATTTTTATTTTGCACTGGACACTACAGATTATGCAGTTAGCTTTGTGTGAAATATCTACTATCTGTTCCTTTGCAGAAAAACTGCATGACCCTCTGGGTTAGAGTCAAACCTTCTACAAAGTTTGTTGACAAGACCAGAAGCCCCTGCCCTCACTGGTCCCCACAGGCAATAATTTTCAACTATTTAGGTGACTCCTTTGGCATCCGTCTCTATGTCTCTAACTAACATGTTTATATTGCTGCTTCTCTGGGAAGCTCTCATTCCCACTCCATACCCTAACCCCAACATGCACGCATAGCAAGCATGCAAGAGCACACCCATGTGCATATGCACGTGTGCACACACACACACACACACACACACACACACCCTATCCATCATCCTCCCACATTGTCATTTTGAGTGATTACATTCATGTGACTATGTATGCTATTCAGAGTGGAGACACTTCATACTTTTGGTCTTCCCTGGAGCAAACAATGGTTTCCATTTTTTTTGCTTCTTTTGCTTAGTTTCCTGCGTTTCTGTCACTGCTCGATCCCAAACTCTTGGCCAGTTTGTCCACACCTGCTCTCCCCTTTCATCCATGTCAGGTGTTTGACTACCTGTGTGTTCTTGGTGATTGCTGGTCTCAGAGCTCTAGCTCTGGACGCTGGCCCTGCACCCACTGCCCATCGTTGACCTGGGCTCGCCTGCACCATCTTCCTGGGGACTCCCTTCCCCTCAATTCTCTGATGGAATTCCTGTCTCCTGATGCCCTGCTTTCCTCTTTCTTGGTACCCTGGCTTGTGTCAGTGGGGCACTTCTGGCACAGTGGTACCCTGTCCTGGGCTGTGACTTAGAATGCCACAGAGAGCTTTAAAATGTTGATGCCCAGGCCACAATCCCAGAGAATCTTGCTTCATTGACTTGGAGTGGAGCCCAGAGGCTCTTCTTTTGAAAGTGCCACACAACGGTTTTGATGTGAAGATTTGATGGCAAGATTGCAAACCACTGTTCTGGTAGCTCCCTGATGTGGGGTCCTGGGGTAGGCAATGTTTTGAAAACCGGTGTGTTGAAAATGTTTTTATTCTTGCTCTCTTTGCTTTGACTGATAGTTAGGTTGGGTATAGGATTCTAAATTGGAAATATTTTTCCTTCCGTATTTTGAAGGCAGTTCTCCACTGTGTTCTAGTTTCCAGTATTGCTGTTGAGAGGCTCAAGGCCATTCTAATTGCTGGTGTGTGTGTGTGTGTGTGTGTGTGTGTGTGTGTGTGTTGATTTTTCTCTCTAGAAAGTATAAAATTACCTTCATTCCCAGAGTTCTAAAATTTCATGATGATGTGAGTTTATTTTCATCACATTGTGGGTAATTAGTGGGCCCTTTGCATCTGAAAATTCAAGTCCTTCACTTCTGTAATATTTGATTTTTTTAATAAACGATTTCCTCCTTCTCTTCTCTTTCTGGAACTCCTGTTATTCAGATACTGGATTTCTGGTGTAGACCCTGGGTCTGGAGTTCTCTCTTGTCCAGCAAGAGAGCGGACACAGGTTTAAAATGCAAGAGAGGCTAATGTCTGGGAGGAGACAAAAGCCCCGAGTAAGGGTCCTTGCTCTGTTTTTATTAGGATCAGAAGGCTTACAAGCGTGATGGATGTGCACAGAGACAATGAAACCGTGAACATTAATTCACAGGCATGAGGGAAAGGGGGTTTTGAAGATATGTGTTGTTAGGGGTTTGGGTCAATACAAAACAAAGTCCTGGTGCCAGGCAGATGGTTGTTTACAGCAGGCATGATGCACCATGTCTGTTTATCTTAGCTAGCTTAGGGGACAAGACAGACAGAGCTTGCTACCTCAGGGTCAACAAAGCACCTGTCTTTTGCTAATTAGCTCCACTCTGGGCAACTTTGCCCTGCTGCCCCGCCTGCTGCAGTCTATAGTCCTGTTTACTGTTTACCTATTTTGGTCCTTCCTTCCTGTGAAAGCAGCTTTCTGCTATTGTACTAAGTTGGGGAGCGTTTCCTCCCTGAATACCTAATCTTGTTTACTATTCTTGGATGCTTTCATCCTGAGGTTTCCTATTTCTATACCTTTGTTCTATACTGGGGGCGCTTTGCCATGTTTACCTAATCTTGTTTACCTCACCTTGGATGCTTTCATCCTGTGGCTTTCTATTTCTTTATGCCTTCTTAACCCGTTGGTGCAAGCTCTGGGAATTCCTAATCTTATTCCCCACAGATTTCCAACACTGGTCTTCAGTTTTCCTGAGCTTTCCTCTCCTGTTTTCTTTTGCCCTTTGCTCTTCTTTTGGGGAAATTTTTTGAACTTTACCCTCTAACATTTTTATTAATTTTCTTTTGCCTTTGTACTGTTATATTTTAATTTTCCAACTGTTGTATTTTTCATTCTCTGTATGTGCTTCCATTAAAAATTTTTAATGTTTGTTTTTGAGAGAGACAGAGTGTGAGTGGGGGAGGGGCAGAGAGAGAGGGAGCCACAGAAGCTGAAGCAGGCTCCAGGCTCTGAGCTGTCAGCAGAGCCTGATGTAGGGCTTAAACCCACGAACCACAAGCTCACGACCTGAGCTGAAGTCAGACACTGAGCCAACTGAGCCACCCTATATAGCACCCCTATATGTTCATCCTATTTTTTAATAGCTTCCTGTTCTTGTTTCTTGGATGCAGTAACTTCTCTTATAGATCTGGAGCTGTGAATACAAATTTGGGGGACTTCTCTGCACAGTGTTGGTTTTCTCCAAGTTGATTTTTTTTCCAATTGTTTGTTTTTGATCTCCCTCTTTTGTACTAGAGGTTTTTCTCAGGAGTCATCTTGGACATCTGCCCACTTGAGAGCAGACAGACTAAGAAGCCCACTGGAAGCTGGATATGTGGATGGGTCTTTCTAACCTCTTTTGTCATAATGTGCTCTGCTGGGCTATTTCACTGGGGGAGCCCCTGATGCCATTGTTTTTAGGTCGTTCCTCTTGAGTGGGGTCATTTTCCCGATGGGGTTTTCAGTTTGCTACCAAGAGGGTAAAGGCTGGCTGCCAGGCTTTTGGGAGCCAAGCAGGAAGTCAGGCTGGGGGTCTCAGCCCTCAAGACAGATATGGTCACTCAATTCCCCTCAATCCTACCGCCTGCCCTCCTCAGCAGAATCCCGGTATGGTGGTGCCTGGTGGTCCCAGGACAGAGACCAGGTCCAGAGAATAAAATCCTAACCTGACGGCCACTCCATCTCCAAGGCCCTCGAACACTGCCTCCTAATATCTGACGAGTGTGGCCATTTCTCTCCACATCCACCACCATCACCCATGGAACCTGCCAGAATCTCCCACCCAGATCCCTGACACAGCCACCTATACCTCGCCTCTCCCTGGCCTTTCTGTACCCAGGAACCAAGGTAGCCCTTTCATGTGTGACGTCTCTGCTCAAACCCCTCCACAACTTTCTGTCCCTTTAGGACACAGTCCAGCTCCTCCGTAGGAGCTCAAGGCCTCCACGTTCTGGCTTCTCCTTACCTCAGCAGCCCCTTCCCTGCCCCAACCCTCTGCATCTCAGTGGGCCACACATCTCTGGCACAGTTCCTGGTGCCAAGTTATCACCTCCTTCTGAAAGTCTCCCCGGGTCCTGGCACCTTCCACACCATCTGAGATGGCCTGCTCTCCCTGGGGACCCTGGAAGGAAGGTCTGTTTCTCCATATTGGCACTGAATCCCGTTCAGCTTCAGCCCGGTACCCAATACCCAAGGGGTGCTGAGCTGAACTGAGCCCTGGAGGTCATTGCCGCTTGCAGCACTGGAGAGCTCCGTTCTGGGAGCTGATTGCTGGGGGAAGGACCCTCTGATCTATTCTACTGACCCCATCAAGCCTGCCACCGGGTCAGTGAGCTGGGGCTGTGTCAGCCATGAGCACCCCCTGCTCCTGGGACTTGCAACAACACGCACTCATAAAGAATGTAGATGGAGAGGCTACCTCTCAGGCATTCAGGGTGCTGAATGTGACCCCCAAACTACCCTGTAGGCTCTTTCCCAGAGAAGGGGCTGCTCCACTCAGCTGCCTTCTCCCACAGTTGTTTGAAAGTCCATTTCCATAATGGCCATAATGGGGAATGGACAGGGAGCCGGTGTCCTCCCTGAAGCCTGGTCTGTGGTGAAGACAGATGTGAGTGTAACAGGGCAGGGCGGCAGTGATCGCTGAGCACTTGTCAGGATCCCGGCACTTGGTACCCATCCGCCCACTTGGAGGAGGGTATTATGATCTCTATCTGATAAATGGGAGAGTGGAAACTCCCTAAGTGCCTCACTCAAAGTCAGAGTGCGAAGGACTTGAACCCAGGGCTCTCCAGCCCCAGCGGCATGATGCTGCTTCCCTGGCACCAACAGAGACAGCGAGAGGCCTTCCTGGCTCTGTGTGATTTTGGGGGTGCTTGTCAACCTCTCTGTGCTGGCCCCTGGAAGCCAGTGGAGCAGGTGCTCTTGCAGGCAGGGTTTGTGGAGCCTTTGTCCGGGGGCCGAGGGATAAATAATGCAGAGTGCTCCCTTCTCAGGATAATGGATTCTAGAATCCCAGGCATTGGGTGGGGCAGGGAGGCAGAAGTGGGGCACTGGCACCACTGTTGGCATCTAGGAAGGGTCATGTGGGACCCGGGTGTGACTCAGCAGCCCTCTCCTCTGGCTTGTTTTTCCAGTAACTGGTGCCCTTACCAGAAGTCTAGGCTGGTCACCTTTGTAGCTGCTTGCAAAACAGAGAAATTCCTTGTCCACTCGCAGCAGCCATGTCCACAGGAGACTCCGGACTGCCAGAAAGTCAAAGTCATGTGAGTGGGGGCAGGATGGGGCAAGGGGGGCCACCCACCCAAGTCCTACACTGGCTCACTCTGGAGTCACTGAGCTGGCCATCTTTCCCCAGGTACCGCATGATACACAAGCCGGTGTACAAGGTCAAGCAGAAGGTTCTGGCTTCCGTGGCCTGGAAGTGCTGCCCAGGCTTTTCAGGCCCTGACTGCCGACACTACGGTAGGGCTCCCTGTGGCTCCCTCCCCTTCAACCTCTGACCCAGAGGTCAGGCAGCTCCTCTGACCTGTGGTGTCAACATCTGTTGCCTCCTCTCTGCAGATCCCACGGCAATCCTTGAGCCCGAAGATCCAGGGGATGGCCTCCAGGAGTCTTGGGATGGGCCAGTCGGCTTTGAACCAGGTATGCTGCTTTCCTAGAAGGTACAGGAGGGGCAGGCAGGCAGGCAGGCAGAAAGAACCCACATGCCCAGGCCATTTCAGGAAAACTCTGTGCCCAGAATCAGCAGGGGTCCCTCTGTGGCCCTGTATCACCCTACCCCCCACACCAAGGAGGGCAGAGCCACAGGGCCCTCGGTCACTGCCTGTTGGCTAAGCACACACACCCTTTCCCTTGACTGCATTTTCTGGGAAGGATAGCTTCATCCGGCACCTACCTTGCCCCTTGAATGGGACAAGATCCCATGGCCTGGAAGAAACTTTCCCCCATGTCTCCTAACCAGGGCCAGAAAGTCGTGCTAGCCTTGGTGTATGTATAGTCAGCACAGAACCACCAAGAGGCACCAATCGTGAGGCCTTTCAAGGCCGGACCACGGCCGACGTGGCAAATAAATTTCATCGTGCGGTGAACTCCTACCTTTAGACAAGGGCTGCCTAGGATGATTGTTGAGAGGCCATGTCCACACAGCTGAGGACAAAAGTGTGCCATGATTGATCAGGCGTGTCTGCTGTGGGTGTCCAGTGAGGGTGAGGGCTCAAGCGCCAAGCATTTCCCCCTCTGGAGCTAAAGGCTTCTGAGCTCCCGCTCACAGGACGTCAGCACGCAGCTCCCTGATATTTCTATCCGAACCTGGAAATTTCTTTCTCCGTACCTCACGATCTGCCCAGGTCTGGGGAGTGAGACCTCGACACTTATCCCTTGTGTGTCTTCAGGCCACCTGGCTGCAGAGATCAGCGACACCATGGTGCCACAGGAGGATCTCCAGAACGACATTCACCAGGTGGCAGACAGCCTCCCAGGCCTGTGGAAGGCGCTGGAAAGCAACGTCACAGCTGCGACCATGGAGGCAAATCAGACAGAGCCTGGTGAGTGGCAGGCTCCAGGGGTGGAGGAACAGCCTGTTCACATCTGAGGGGAGAGAGGAAGGCGGGGCAGGAAGGCCCAGATCTCAGAGGAGCCCCCTCTGGTCCCTGCCTGGGGAGGCGTGTCTGGTCCTTGCAGGGCTTGTGTACAAACGTGTCTCTGTTGCAGTGTTTCCTGGCAGATCCCTGGAGCAGGTGCTACTGCCCCACATGGACGCCTTCCTGCGCGTGCATTTCAGCCCCATTTGGAGCAGCTTCAACCAAAGCCTGCACAGCCTCTCCCAGGTCGTAAGAAACCTCTCTCTTGACGTGGAGGCCAACCAGCAGGCCATCCGGGGGGTCCAGGAGAGCACGGTGGCCAGAGCTGACTTCCAGGAGCTTGGTGCCAAATTTGAGACCAAGGTGCAGGACAACGCCCAGAGAGTGGGACAGCTGCGGCAGGATGTGGAGGAGCGCATGCACGCCCAGCACCTCTCCCTGCAGCAGTCCGTCTCCGAGGTACACGCAGATGTGGACGCCAAGTTGAAGAGGTTCCTTAAGGCCCAGGGGCCCATGGGGGCCAACGGCAGCCTGGTCCCCGCAGCGGCGGGGGCAGCGGCAAGGCCGGAGCCCGAGAGCCTGCAGGCCAGGCTGGGCCAGCTGCAGAGGAACCTCTCAGCGCTGCACGCGGCCGCCGGCCGCAGGGAAGAGGAGTTGCGGGGCATCCTGGCGGACATGCAGGCCACCCTGGCGCAGCACGTGGAGGAGATCAAGGAGCTGTACTCGGAATCCGATGAGACCTTTGATCAGATCAGCCAGGTGGAGCACAAGCTGTTGGAGCTGCAGGTGAACCACACGGCGCTGCGCGAGCTGCGGGTGATCCTGATGGAGAAGTCGCTGATCATGGAGGAGAACAAGGAGGAGATGGAGCGGCAGCTCCTGGAGCTCAACCTCACCATCCAGCACCTGCACGGCACCAACGCCGACCTCATCAAGTACGTCAAGGACTGCGACTGCCAGAAGCTCTACTTGGACCTGAATGCCACGCGGGCCCTGGAGGAGGCGCAGGTGGGCCCGGACGAGCGGCGCCGGCTCGAGGGCTCGTCCCTGCAGGCCCTGAGCGACGCCGTGGCCGCCCTGTCGCGGGCGGTGGACGAGCGGCGGGCGGAGG